ATGGACACACCTATGAAATCACAAAATCTTGGCTTGTGGCCCCAGAACATGTATCTTTAAAAAGGCCTCCCCCTGCCAGGTGAATTTTTTGTATGATAAAGCTCAACAACCACTGGATTAGGCTGTGAACACTCTAAGAACGGGTCTGAATCTTACTCATTTTAGCCTTCTTAGTCTCTCACCTTATATCTTGTACCTTTTCTGGCACAGCTAACCCTAGAACTCTAGTAAGTGTTCGATAAATGTTTACGGAATTGAATGAAGTTGGAAAAATATCCACATATTATGAAGCTTTAACTACATAAAATCATGATGTGATGAGACTCTTTAACCTTGTGTGATTTTGGTCAGGTCAACATGTATTGTTTTTGCTTGCCTAGTGTCTGTTACCTCTTGTAATAATTAATAAAACTTTATTTTTCCTTAGGAGAGCCACTCCTCTTTCATGCTTCATTCTTATAGTTTGAGAGGCACTAACTTTACTTTCTCTGTGAAGAAGGTATGTGACACAAGTCAGGCCAATCAGAGCACATATTCTCCCCATCTACTGTCATTGGTTCAGAAGTGCGTGCGTGATCCAATGAGAGCTCAACCCCAGATTTATTGGTGCTGTTAGAAAAGAGGTAGCTCCTTCATCCTGGGTTGGGTTAGCTTATGGGACATGAGTCTGGATTTTCTAATGACCATCTTTGTCTCTACCCAATCAACTTTCTGCTCTATAGATTTGCCTCTTTGAGACACCTCATATAAAAGGAATCATACAGTATGTGGATATTTTTGGATGGCTTTTTTTCACTTAGCATAATATTTTCAAGGTTCATTTGTGAGGTAGCATGTATCAGTGCTTTATTATTTTTTATTGCTGAATAATATTCCAAACAAAAACTCCATTTTGTTTATCCACTCAGCAGTTAATGGACATTTGGATACCCCTTGACCTTCAATGGATCAATAAATTCCTTTTTATGATTAAGTATTTTAAACCAGTAAAGAGTTGTAATACAGATGGTTTAAAATCAAATATTGGAATGTGATTTGATAAGTGATGAGTGTGATTTGATGAAGACAGTTAATAAGCTATGGGAATTTGAGACAGTACTAGAAAATCAGAAATGGTGTAACATATATGTAACAATGCTGCATTTGCATATTAGGCTTCAATTCACATTTGAGGTTTCATAATTATAAATCATAGTGTTTCATTACTGTGATATGATGCCTTTAATATTGGCAACTGGTGCCTTAAAAATTCTGCTCTGAGTATTTATCACTTGCTGATTATCTACTTCTCTTTCACTTTCACAGTCAGTGAAGATAGTTATGGTTGTCTACAAAACAAGCCTCTTGTCCTCACGCTGTCCCTCTCCTAAAGGCTCTGAAACAAGTACACACATTTTTTCAAATTTTATCAGTGTTTTTACTGCTAACAATTATAGGAAAACACATGAAATGCCAAAATCACTGGGTCTCTGAGAGCCGGTAAAAGTAGGGTGTTGAGAATCTTTCTCTATGGACTGGGAAGAACCAATTTATACTCTAGCCCCTAAGTCCAATGTCCCATTGCTGAGCCAAGTATATTTTTATCCTTATTAAATTAAAGTAACTGTGGAAGTGATTACAAGGAAAGGTATATATCCTTTATCATGCAGTATGAAAGAATATGAGCAGGTTAAAATTTTGTAATTTCAAATATAAACAAAGATAAAAAAGAATTATATAAAAAATTTCTATTACTTGTAATCCAACTTTTGAGCTGGCTGGCATGAGGACCAAATGAGATCATGTATTGAAAGCCTTTAGCATAGAGCCTTAATCTCTGTTGGCTTTCAATAATGACTTCTGCTCCAGCCAATGTTCAGTTGAAGAAGCAGAACCACTAACTAGAGGTTTATTATAGGGATTTGACCTTTTGCAATTGTGGGGGCTGGTTTCACAGCCTATGAGGCTGTTTGTTATCTTTGTGCCTGGTGATGGAGCCCAGAACTTGCATTTTTATCACTGTTTCCAAGCCTCCAACTTCAATGGTGTGAGTGACCAGCAAAAGATGGTGTCCTTTATCATGGAGATAAATGCATAGCTGGGTCAGCAGTTAAAGTTGCTAAAGTAGGATCAGGTGGGAGTTACAGGGGCTACGGTCCTGGCTGCTACCCCATACCAATAAGGTCAGCATCAGATAAGTGTGTGAGCTACAAAACAGCCTGATGCCCTACAGTGACTTTCCAACATAAAAAATGGGGCTTTGACTTTATTTTGGCACCCAAACCTCTTGCAAGATGTTTCTTGTGGCTCACCCACCCAGAATTATGCAGGAAAAGGAGCTTAGAGATATGTAGTTTCTGTTCTCTAATCTGTGTAACAAACTACCTCCAAACGCATAGCTTAAAACAGTATCATTTCTTTAGCTCAAGGATATGCAATTTGGGCAGGGCTCAGTGAGAACAGCTCATCTGTGGTCTCTAAGGCATCAACTAGGGTGGCTCCAAAGGCTGGTTGGTCAGAGGCTTGCTGGGGTCTGGAATCATCTGAAGACTTGCTACTCCCATGTCTGGTGACTGATGCTAGCTGTCATCTGGAACAGCAGGCTCTCTCTTTTTCTGTGTGGTCTCTCTGACATGGCAGCTGCATGGTAGGCAGACTTCTTACAAGAAGTTCAAGATTCCAAAGATATATGGATATACGGAGAGAGAAAAGAGAGAAGAGAGAAGAGAGGAGAGAGAGGAGAGAGAGGAGAGAGAGGAGAGAGAGGAGAGAGAGAGAGAGAGAGAGAATGAACAATATAGAGATATAGATAGAGGAAAAGGGAGGGGAGGGAGACTTTCTATTCTGGTTCTGCCATTCATTAGCTATGTCATTTTAAGCAGGTCATTCATTCTCTCTGAACCTCAGTTCTCAAATTTTAAAAATCAGGACTTATTTTGGGCTACCCAGAAGAAGACTGTGGGGCCATAATTTGAGTGAAAATAGTTTATTTGGGAGTTAACCCCAGGAATTATCAGAAGGGAGCTAGGAGGATATAGGGAAAGGAAGCCAGTAAAAGGTACTTAATCAAGCAAGTTACCCTGCGGGTTACTGTAGCTAAAACCTCTGGGGAACCCTGGGGAAACACTGTAGAATCTCAGAGCCATCTCATCCAAAGGGTGGGGGAACTGGGATATTTATATATCAACTCCCATTGGTCATTGGTTAAGGACTGAGTGGGGGTCATTAATTCCTCAGTACCTTTACCCTGCTTAGTTCCATGCAGGTGGGAAAAACTCCCAGGCAAAGAGATATAGGTACTGTTAGCAAAAAATAAAAAAATAAAGAAAGAAAGAAAAAAGAAAAAAGTAAGCAGGTTTGCAGTGAAATAGTTTAGAGCTGAAGGGATATGAACGGGGCAATAACAGCCTTTGCTATAGAGGGTATTACTTGTTTTTTAAGGTGGTTGAATATTCAAACATTTTATTTATTGTTATTTTTTAGACAGGAAAGCAGGAGAAATCAGTTTTCCCTCCTATGCTTCCCAACTAGGGACCTGGCCCACAACCCAGGCATGTGCCCTATGAATTAAATCAGGGACCTTTTGATTTGCAGGCCAGTGCTCAATCCACTGAGGCACACCAGTCAGGGCAGGTGGTTGAATGTTGAAAATGAGATGATATAAAAAAACATCTACTTCTGGTGGGGTGGCTCCTCCCCAGGCTTTGGCATCCTCCAGGGCAAAGTTCAAGGGAGGGGCCCAGAGGTCCTGGAGTTTTCAACATTCCCACATCACCACTGTCAACTCCTTAAAGGGCAGTCTGAAGAAATGGCAATAATAGACATGGATTCCCTCCCTTAACGGACCTCAGGGCTAGTTCTCTTAAATTCTACCTACACCTCTAATAATGTCACCTTATAGGAGCTCAGAACTTCCTGTTGGTTCCTCATGACTGAGACTTACCCACCTAACGCTAGCTAGCTACCCTCGTTAATCTTAACTCAAACTCACACCCTTTCTGGATCCACCCCCCAGCCTCCCCCGCCCCGCCCCGTTTTCTGGAACTCAGGTTCTGGACATTATCCAAGAATGGTTGCAAACCCACGTTATTATGATACTAGACTCCTAAGTTTGTGGTCATTTGATAGTTAACCGCGCGTCTTTGAAGGTTTTGAACAGAGATCTGACATAATCCAATTTTTGGTAAGATTTTGGTGCGCAGGATTAGAAGAGGACGGGAAAGAGGGAAAAGTAAAGTGTGTGTTTGTGTGTGAAGCTCTTCCAACAACCCATTTTGAGGTATGTGAAACGTGGGGACCTGACTTGGCGCTGTGAGTGGAAATTAAGAGACAGATGTGAAAGGAGCAAAACTTGATGTCTCACAATAAAATAAGCAATGGCCTGGTGTCCGCAGACTGGAGTCTCAGTGAATGCTGCCACTGCCAGCTTTGCAATGTTCTTCGAGTCCCCCGACATGTAACGTGGGAAGAGCAGCGTAACAAGGGGAACGAGGGGACAGTGTTAGCAATACGTTCAGAACGGTGCCTCCAACAGGGTAAACGCGCCAATCCCTTTTTTTCCTCTATTAAGAAAAAGACGGGAGAGATAATACCATCCACATCTTAGTGGTGTCTTGAATAGAGATGCGAAGTGGCTGACACGTAGCAGGCAATGAAGCTCAGTCCGTTGCCTCCACTTGCTCCTGCTCTGGGAGAAACCCCACTCATTCTGTGGGGTCAGCCAGCTCCCACGCCTCCGCTCCCAGGTTACCCCCACCCCCTCACTCTTCTCGCCGCGCGCTGTTGCCGGGGCCCGAGCACCGCCCAACTGCAGAGCAGGCCAATGGCAACGTGGCTCAGGCTCCGCCCAGCTCCAGCAGACCAATGGCGACGCGATGCGGGAACCGCCCAGATCATGCCAGGGCCAATAGCGGCGTGGCCCGGTACAGTGCCGCCCTCACTCTGGCGGATAGGCGGGGAGGCGGTCACCGGCTCCGCCCTGCTCCCCTCTGACCCGGTGTCTCGTTTCTGCCTCTTCCTGTTCCAAACCACGTGGACGCGCGGGGGGCTGCGGGGCTGCTGGGCTGCGGGAGGGAACCCCGGTCTCCACTGCTACTGTCGCCGCGGCCACCACCAAGGTTACGACCCTACGCCTGTCTGAAGTAGCCGCCCCCCACCCCCGGCCGCCCACGCCTTGCGCAGAGCGCGCACATGGCGACTCAGACACACTCTCTCTGCTACGCGGGCTGCAACTTCTTACGCCAGCGTCTGGTTCTGTCTACTCTGAGCGGGCGCCCCGTCAAAATCCGAAAGATTCGGGCCAGAGACGACAACCCCGGCCTCCAAGGTAACAGCAGCCCGCCGGGTGGGCGCGGGCGCCACGGGGAGACCGCGCTGATGTCCTGGGGGCTGGCGCGCGGGGAGCCTCGGGGTCCCTCGGGCATTTTGGGGAGGGCCAGTCGTGCGTCACCCCCGAGCACGAATGCTCCCTAGGCGGTGTGGGAAGCGGGGTCGGGCCCGGAGGGTGAGCTCTTCTGCGTGCTGCGCTCGTTGTCTCCTGGGCGCCGGTAGTAAACAGCTACACGTTTTCCAGCATTACGTGTTGCCGTAAACCCCAGGGTTCGCCCCCTTCGCTTGTCTTCAGTACCTCTTGCTCTCTCTATAAACCTCTAAAAGGAGAAAAAACAGTTTGTTGGACTGAAATGTGGTGAATGGGCAGAGGTAAAGGTGGAGGGAGATTTGGAAAGAAAAGTACCACCGGTTGGGCCCGTGTCCTGTCCCAAAACAGGTCTCAGACGCAGCTGCCCCCTTAAATACCGGCTGTCCCTGTCGCCATGATTTCTCGGCTGTCCTCACACCTCCCCCTTGACTGTGGATGAAAGAATCTTTAACAATTCTGTTTTTTTTTTTCAGCCATGACTGTGATTGATGTGCACAGGACAGGAGCTTTGAGATAAATTTTTAACAGTCATGGGCCTAATTGCCTTGACTTGAATAAAGGCTTGGTGACAAGTGCTAAACTAGGCTGCCAACCTTCCTTTTTACCCTACAAAGGTAGCTCGATTAAAAGTAGGCCCCATTTGACCACACATAGATTAAATGGCTCCGATTTTCAACTGGTCCCCTGGAATGAGACACATGGTTTTAAAAGCTTGAGTATGACTATCCTAAATTGGGAGACTCAGTTAAGAAAAAAACAGACTGTCAGCATATTAAAGGAGACAGTTTGTGGTTAGTCCTGGAAGGTTTCTGAGTCGTGTTGATATGTTTAATTTTGCCCTGGCTCCTGTAATAGGTGGCCAGCTCATTTCATCATCTGTCTGCATTTTCTGGACAGTTACATTTCTGCCTCTCTTGAATGTTGATTGGTTGCACGTTAAGGGGAAAATGCCATGTCATTGATGGAAATACAAGGTTAGGAAAGAAAGAACCAAAGACCTCCATACCATGGAGAGGAATCTTGACAGTAGGAAAGACTTGTGTTGGTACATGATTATTACCCTTGCTGTAACTGAAGAAGTTAAGGAGGGAATGCTAGCCTGGTTTATGTCAGGTGCTCTTCCCCCTCAACATCTCTTGCCCCTATTTTGAGACTGGCGCTTGGGCAAAGCAGTTGCTTGATTGGTATACTCTGGTATTCTCAGCCAGGTCTTCCTTTTGCATCCCCCGAGTTTGCCTAGAGAACTCATCACTAGCTCGCTATGGAAGGAGACAGGTTTCTATTTCTATGAATACTGGGCATAGGTTGGTTGGTTGGTTTGTTTTTGGAATAAAAGTACTTTATCCTGGTGATTGGGATTTCTAATTGAAGTATAGTGCCCATAAGCTACAATTTAGTGTTTTTCTCTTGACGGGTGGCCTCCACACTAATGTTTAATGTTCCAAAGGATGCTTTCCTGCCTCCCCCCTCCACTCTTTATGACCATCTCTTCACTGCCACACACATGAACAGGGCTTGGCTACTTGGCATTTTCCTGAGAGGATACCTGGGGGAGGTAGAACTGGTTGGCAGATGTGCTGGTATTTTTTGAGGAACACTGTAGCGTTATTTGTCTTACTTTATTAATATAATAGGGGAAGAAAGAGGCCTTTAATTTAGACCTCCTTAGACTGGCTTTAGAGTCTCAAAAATCCTATACACATTTAATTTCTTAAAGAGGGAACTGAGATATAGGTGTACATAAGTTGGTCTTCTGTACCCATGGTTTTCGCATCTACACATTCAACCAACTGTGGGTCAAAAATATTGGGGGGAAAAAATCCCAGAAAGTTTCAGGAAGCAAAACTTGAATTTACCACTCACCAAGCCACTATGCTGAATCCATACGAATGAAACGATGTATAGGCATACCCTGCTGTAGCCTGTATGCAAATACTGCACCATTTTATGTAAGGGACATGAGCTTCCACAGAGTTTTGTATCCACAGGGTCCAGGAACCAATCTCTCATGATGCCAAGGGATCACTGTACAAGCATACGTAGATATGCATAGATACTTAGGTATGTGTGTGTGTATATATATATATATCTAAGTGTATATGGATATACACATATACAAATACATGTAGCCCCTGACAAATGCTACCTGTTCATAGTTAAGCAAGTCCTTTTGAACTTGGTTGAAGATCTAGCCAACAGTTTGTGTTACCGGTCATCTTTTTCTTTCTGACTCTTATTGTACTTAGACTGTGAGAGTTGGGAAAAACTCAGAGCATTTCCAATAAAATCTTCAGCTTACATGCAAGAATTACTGCACATCTTTCAAAAGTGCTTGCTTAAAACATTCCTGCTGTGTGAGCTTTGGAAGGTAGGGATGGTGCAGTCATTCAGAAAAGGTTTATTGAGCCCTAGTATGTATAAGGCTCTGTGGGGGTATAAATGTGAGAAGGTGGTTGCCCCACTCTCAAGGAGTTTTCTAAGGAAGAGTTTGATAGAATAGCTTGAGCAACTTGAAGTAGGAAAGCCTGAATGTTGTAAAGGGGCTCATCAGAGTTATACTGAGACTTCCTTGGAGGTTGTTATGAAGAAAGGCTTTCTGCATCTGCTTCTGGCCTGCACATAGAGGATTGAGATGTTGGCTGCAAGAATCATTATAGGTGAAAGAAACAGCTTTTAAGTCAAAAAGTCCTTTTTTTTTTTTTTTAAATCACTATGTTGAAGAAAAATCCTTAATTTTTTTATAGTTGTAGTAGCTTGGTGGTTAAGCGCTGGGGTTCAGAATTAGACCTCAGTTTGAGTCCTGGTTCTGCTTTTGCTATTAGCTCTTGGACCTTCAGCAAATTCTCTTAACATTTTTGAGCCTCAGTTTTTTCATCTATAAAATGAGGCCAGTTCTAGCGACTTCCTAGGGTTATTGTAAGGATTAAATGGAATCACACTTCAAAGTGCACTGAACAGCACCTGGCATATGGGAAGTATAACTGTTAGCTGGTTTTATTATGCATGCTTATACCCACTGGGAATAGTTTTACTCTTTGGCACCCAAAATCTGTTCCCCAACCTATATGGAAACTTTTCAGATCTTTAAAGAATAATGACTTCTCTTTGTTTTCTCTATTTGAGCTAAAGTTTTCCTTTTAGGTGATGGCTTCCAAATATTTGTGTGTTATATATGTAATGTAATGGTTCTTTACCAGGGCAGTTTTGTTCCCCAGGAGACATTTGGCAGTGTTTGGAGACATTTTTTGTTGTCCCAGCTGGGAGGCTGCTCTTGGCATCTAGTGGGTAGAGCCCAGGGATGTTGTTAAAAATCCTCCAATGCACCGGACAGCTCCCCACACAAAGAATTATTCTGTCCAAAATGTCAATTGTGCTGATGTTGAAAAACCCTGACCTTCTGGACTTAATTATAAGCCTTTTATTTTCTCCAATCCCTAACAGTGGGGAACAGCAGTATGTGGTACCAAGAAAACTGTGCAAGGATTCACAAAGGGATGAGACACAGCTCAAACTCTGTGACTTCTGGCAGATCAATTAATCTCTTAAATAAAACTGCCTCCTTCCAGTGCAGAGGGATTATAAATAATGAGAAGAATTTTAACTCCAAAGAAATATGATCCTGGAATGGTTTTTATTATAGAGCTACGTGTAATTTTTGCTTCACTCTTAATTGTATTGTCTCGTTAGACTCTTACTATCAGTGAGGAGGAACTAAAAATTTTTTTGGTTGTTGTTTTTCGAAAGGTAAAAAAGCCAAGATAGTTAAGTGAAATAGCTAGTAAAGTTGAACATCCCCTGAGTCACAGAGCTGGAAGGAGAGTGCAGCCAGCTCTAGCCTACAGGGCCTACTCTCCCATCTAACTGGGAGATGGGTTTGTGTTGCAAAGCGGCTGTGCAGAATACCTCTGTCTCTGGGTTTCTCAAGGGCTGTGTCTTGCAGGGTTCAGTTGAGTTAATATTTTCTTGTTAAGGTGAGGTCTAAATGGACAAAATTTCACTGGAATGATAATTGTTACAGTGAGAATACATAAATGATGGATTTGGGCAAGAACACTGGTTTAGCAGTTAGGATACAGGACTGCTACTACCGAAGTTCCTGGGCAGGTCTCATGACCAAGCCTCACTGTCTTCTCCTGGAAAATTAGAGGAGCCTCTTTTTTTTTTTTTTTTTGGTCCTATTGGCGTGCTGCCCTTGGCTTAACCAGTTGAGATTCTGAAAAAGGAAGGATAAGTGGAGTTTTAATGGAAAGAATCCTTTAAAATACACTGGAGAGACATGCTACATAACAGTTCAATGAAAGGTAGAACATCTTTTGGTTAAACGGATGTATTGTTTTATAGATCAATGTGGCTGTTCATTAATTAGGTCTTCTAAAAGAAAAATTATAAGGGAAATCTCTTTTTCTCCTCTGCTCTCAATATTTCTGACACCAGATATGTGGTACCCTCCTCTCCTCCCCAAATCAAGCAGTTCTCAGAAGATACCAACTGGACGTCCACAAATTTAACTCAACTCTGGCAGTATCTACACAATGATATCATCAGATCCCAAAAGTTAAGGACTCCCACAAGACTTCCCCCTATTTTAAATGCCAGTCTCAAGTCCTAATGGCAAGTCTGAGTCAATTGTGCTTTTGACCAACCAGCTGTGAGTTGGAGGTTTCTGACTGGTTCTAATAATTTGCTAGAATGGCTCACAAAGCTTGGGGAAACATGTACTTTGACTCGGCAGTTTGTTATAGAGGATATTAAAAGGGATACTGATGAACAGCCAAATGAAGGGTTATATAGGACCAGGTCTGGGAGGGTCCTGAAGCAGGGTATGCCACTTTCCCAGAACTTGGATTCCTACCTCAACCTGCAAGTTCTCTCCTTATTCAAAAGTTTTTATAGGACTTAATCTCCCC